AAACTCGCTGTAACGCAACTGTAAGTTATGTTCTCCAAGCATTTTTGCGAACCAAATTCTACCATTACTGACATATTRCGCACTTTACGCCATAAAGTCGTCAATGAATAAACATTGAAACCCAAATCTAGCGAAAGGAATGGTGCTGTGATGCTTTCAACCCAAACAAGATTCACAGGATCCAAAATTTCAGTATCTTTTGGAAGCTGAATACTCGATAAATTGATTCCCATAATATGCACAAATAAAGCTTGTGATTTGTCTAACGAGAAGGAATTAAACTTGTCCACGGAAGAATTTGATAGAATAACCTCACATCTATTCTGACATGGTGTATGATACACAACTTCCAGGCGTATAGGTCTTGAAATCCAAAAGGGTAGCAATGAAAACAGCGTATCCAGCGTATATAAATACAAATATTGCTCCATAATGAGCCAGTGAACGATAAATGAGTTTCATTTCCAATGTGTTAGCTGCCGAGATTTACTTAAAATGAATTTGCATTGATGTCTGCTGAAGATATCTCGAGATTTCTAGGTCACGATTTCTAGCCCTAGTCCCTTTCCCAAGGTGAAAACATGACGCTTGTAGAAATCAAACTGGACAGACTCCCACATGAAGCGTTCAATCGTACAGGCAACTTATTAATCAAAAAATATATGTGCAAAGTGTCTGCTGTTCCGAGAAATCACGTGATTTTTAAGCGGTCACGATTATTTCTATGATTACGTGACACGTAACGCTTTCGAAATCAGAGATGACGGAAATAAATTCGGAAATCTATAATCTCGACGTTTGGAGTGTGGAATTTTATGTTGAAAACATAGCTCGAACCAGGACTTAAACACAAAGTTCGATTTTCAAGGAATATTTTTTTTCTGATGCCATTTTGTACAACAAATTTGAAAGTTGGAAATTTGGCACAGAACGACAAGGGACGAAACCTTATATCGATCTTGAACTCTACTGTCGAACCTCTATAAATTGGTAACCTTTGAGGAAATTCCAGGTGTGACTGCTTATTATAAGTTGAATTTTAATAGAGGTTGATAGTTTAATAAAAGTCACGTTTAAAATAATATATATGAGAATCGACTTTTGGGCAATTCATCAGAGTGACCATTTAATCGAGGGTGACCACTAAATTGAGGTCCCTCTAATAGACTGCATTTAAACTAGTGCAAAATGAATTAGAACAGATCATAGTATTTTATGCACCTATTGCAACAATCAGATCCATAAGAACATTTTTGCGACTTCCTGAGCACCAGATTTACTTTGCCCGCATCCGTCCCTACCCACGGGCTGGTCCCCACCTTGGGGGCTGCAGCATAACATGGCAAATGCCCCAATATGAGGCATCAAATATTGGTCTAATCCCCACCCCTTGCCCAGGGGCTTGATAGGTGCATTATATAAACAATATAAAAAATGAATGAATAAATGGATGGATGAATGAATGAATGTATTCTGGGATGAATAGTAAATGGATGAAAAGATAACAAATTTTCTACCTTTAGACTTAGATACAATGATGGTAGGCCCAGATCCCTGCGCGGAGAAAGAACCCACTGAAGCAGCATCCTCATCATCGACAGAAACCACGGCAACTGAACCATCAATTTTCCGAGCAGGTGTGAATGGATCGCCTGAGCCCACAGGTGAT